TATAGAAAGCTGGTTATTTTAGAGTATAAGACTTCTATATATAGATTTTTAATAGTTACGAATACTAATTTATTTACTCGCGATATCTAATTAAAAAGTATAGATTTAATGAATTTATAATTAACTATATATATAAATTCAAGGTTTTCTAATTTAGCTCTATCTTATTCTTTTATATATACTAATAACTATTTATTAAATAAAAATATAAAAAGATAGTATAAAGGTATATAGACTAAATATTAATATAAAATACTAAATCTCTTATTACTTTAAGTCTTTATTAAGATATTTTTAATCTTAAATATATTTAATAAATTATTTATAATATTCTCTTAAGCGATAGCGATTTTATTTAAAATAAAATAATTATAAATACGTAAATTATAATATCGTAGATTTTTATAAAATAGCTTATAGTCTTATATACTTAAATTAATCTCTAACTTTTCGAATATTAATTTAAGAGTATTAATATATAAATTAATACTTTTAAGAATTATAGCTATTTTTACTAGTCGAAAAGATATAATATATCTTATAGAATATTTCATATTAAGTAATATTATATCGTATCCGAATATAATATAAATAGAATCGAATATCATTTCATTTTTCTAATATGAGTTCGAAATCTTAGCGGGATATCTCACGGTATAATATATCTATAATATTATATTATGAAATAATATATATATGAAATATTTCGTTAAGATTTCTATATTTAGAAGTATAAGTAGCTATTCTAGTTATTATTCTAATTAATTATAACTACTACTATTATAGCTATTACTACTATAGTTACCTCTATTATAATTATTATTACTATAATTATTACTATTATAATTATTATTATTATAACTATTACTATTATAACTATTACTATTATAGCTATTATATAATAGTAGACTATTTAAATAATAAATAGTAATAGTTATAGTAGTAATAGCTGTTAAAATATTAGATATATAATATATAGAACGAAAGAATTAATTCTTTAAAACCTCTTCGAGACTAGATTCTAAATATAGTATAAAATTAAATAGCTAAAGAATACGATAGCTGAAATACGCGAAGATTATATTTCGATAGTAGCTATAATAGTAATAGTTATAATAGTAAGTGATAGTTATAGTAGTAATAGTTATAATAGTAATAGTTATAATAATAGAAGCTATAATAGTAATAGTTATAATAGTAAGTAATAGTTATAATAGTAATAGCTATAGTAGTAATAGTTATAATAGTAATAGTTATAATAGTATATCGAATAGAGATAGATACGATTAGCCGTTAACTAGAATAATAATTAGAATAGCTACTTTATACTTCTAAATATAGAAATTCTAACGAAATATCTCATATATATATTATTTCATAGTATGATATTACAGATATATTATATCGTGAAATATCTCGTTAAGATTTCATATTATATCAGATATGAAATTATATAAATATTAATATTTTATATTATATTAGAGTATAATATAGTAGATTAATATCTTATATTATATTATATCTTTTCGATTAGTAGCTATTTTATAATAAAGCGTTTAATTAATATAATTATAATAGCTATATCTAGTAAAGTTAGTATAAAAAACGCGATTAAGAGAAAGTTATATTATATTATAAATTAATCTTAGATATTATTTATAATATGAATTTAGCTAAAAATCGATTTTTCGCTCTTTAAAGACGCTAGAGTAGATATATAAATAGTAATTACTTTCTAAATTTTATATATATATAAAGCGATTAAATAATTAATAATAATCTATTATAAGACTATAAAGATTATATTATTATATTAAATACTATAATAATAGAATTCTTTATAATTATTAATAAAATTTAAGATTCTTAGCGTTAAGAAGTAAAGAATTTAATTAATAGTATACTCGCTAAGATTAATCGAATTATTTATACTTATTTCAACGCCTTTATAGCTTTATTTTATATTATCTATTTTAGATATATTAACTTTAATCTTTTCGCTATTATAATACTACTTAATTATCTTATCTTTTTATAACGCTATATTATAGCTATTATAAATTTAATTTATAAAATTTAAATTATATTATATAGACTTTATAATATATAAGTAACTCGCGATATAGCTAGCGAGTTTTATTAAAAATTAAATAAAAATTAAATAAGAGTTAAAAGATAGATTAAAAGAATATAGACTATTAAAAGAGTTATTATTAAAAAAGTCTATTAATAGATCTCGTAATAGAGGGTCTTCGATAGCGTCTTTCTCTTATTTGAAAGCTTCTTCTTATTTAAGATCTAATACGCGTTAAAAGATTTTAAAATAGAATAATAAAGAATAAATAGAAGAGAAAGATATATCTTAAGAGATAATATTATTAGATTAAAAGATATTATTACTAGCTTAAAAGAAATCTATAGAGAAGAATATATTCGTTTAAACTCTTTTTAAGAGTTTTTTAATATATTTATAAGTAATAGTAGATAGCTATTAAGCTCGCTTATAATCTCGATTATTAATAATAGCGAATTTATTAAAAAATAGTTTAAAGGCGTTAGTAAAGGTTTTAAGAGGCGGGAAAAAGAGATATATATATTTTAGACGTTTAATAATCTTTAGACGAGAGATATTAAGAGTAAATATATTTATTTTAATAAAATTAATAGAATTAATAGAGAGATAGAAGAATAATAATTATATAAATAGATAGAAGGATTATTTAATCTCGAACGCGTTTCATATAACTATATTTAAATACTACTTCGCTCTATTAATAGTAAATTAAATTTTATAAATTTTATAGCGTTAGAAAGTGTAAAGCGAGCTTTATAATTTAAGAAATTATAAAGTAACTATATATATCGTAAGCTAAGTACTTTAAAGTATAAAACTTCTATATATAAATTTTTAATAAGAAAGACGCGAAAGAATTATCGAGCTAACTTAGTCGATCTAATTAAAGAGCGTAATAAACTCGAATTTATAATTAGCTATATATATAAATTTAAGATTTTTAAGCTTAACTCTACTTTATTCTATTATATATACTAATAATTATTATTTAACGCTAGACGTTAAACTTAAAAGATTAAGTAAGAAGAAGAGAGAGAGATAAAGTATTCGCGATTTAAACTCGTAAATTAAGAGTAAGATAATAATTCTACTCTTAAATTTATATTATAACTTTCTAATATATCTATATAAATTAATAAACTAATTATATTCTTAGAAATTATCTTAATTTATATATATTTCTAATCGTATTTTATAAATTCTCGAATTTAAGAAAGAATTATTTATTAGAGTATTATTTAAATTTAATATATTTTTATAATTTAAGATAATAATAGTAATAGATATATAATTTTTATATCTAAGAAATTAAATTTTTGTCGATAAGTCGTTAAAAAGAATATTATTTAAAAGACTATAGCGAATAATATCTTATTAGAATATTTACTCTTTCGATAAATAGAAGATCGATTAAGTTATAATACTAGTTATCTTAATAAGCTTAAGACTTTTAAATCTTCTATATATCTGTAAATCTAAAAAGTTCCTTTTCGTATAATTTCCGCCGGGTCCGTATTATAAGTACGATTTAGTACGATTTAGTCTATTAAGTAGACTTTATTTATATCTAATTCTTTTCGCCAATTCTACTAGTTTAGTAACTTTAAAATTTTTTTAATAACTTTAAAAATTTTACGTAATATACTTTAATATACTCTAAGTAAGTACTATTCTATATACGGAGTATATATAATATTAATATATATTATTATTAATATGCGTATTATTATACGCTATATTAGAGTATTATCTACGCGACTAATTTTATTAAATTATCTAATTCCGTAGTTAAATTTGAGTTAGCGTTGATACTCGTCGTTATAGAACCTTATTATCGCAATATCGATTATTAGAACTTTTCTTTTTTTATATATATTACTACTAAACTAATAGAACTAATAAAAAAGATTAAGATAGTTATTAAATCGACGGAATTTTGGCTGATTTTTGAGATAGTTGCTAAACCGGCGGAATTCTTAATTTTAGCCCTATTCGCAAGATTAGCAATTTGAAATTTAGTAGAAACTTTTCAGATTTGCAGATGTATTTAAAATCTTCGCTTTTAATTTTATATTAATAATAATAATAATAAAGCGTCTATCTAGTTTTAAAATTTAACTTAAATCTTATATTTTAAGATTTTAACTTCGCTATTTCTATGAATATTAAAACTCGTATAAAGAAAGAATAATATACTCGTTTAGCTATCGCCATCAAGGCGGCTCCGCATGCAGCTAAGTCCTAGCGGGTCTAGCCGCCGTTCATCCTGACAAGCATGTTTCGCAAGCTTGTAGCTGTAGCTGCTTGATGGAAGATGGATAGCTCGCGACGAGAGGAGGAATAAAAGTCAAATGGTGGAGTAGAGGATGCGATGTGATTCGTTGCAAATCCTTCCTTCGAGCATTTGAAAAGAGGCCGCTTCTTGGCACCAGAGCTAGCGGGGCGCTAGGCGGAAAATGGATAGCGGCCGCCGCTCCCAGTAGGTAAATTATCCAATGAGCGAATTTGCTTTCACTTTCATCTCTCGAAAATCAACGGCATATTTCAAGCTCATCCAATCAGCTCCTGGCTTCTTCTCTTTGTACTACCTTTCTACCCTATCTACTGATACATTTCGTCTACTGAAACCAAATCTATCGTTCTCATCTTCTACAGGCTCGAGCCACCGATCTTCTTCCAACTCCGCGGCCTGCCCCCTTCACTCTCGACTCCATCTTCATAGCTGCTTCGAATCTCGTTCAGTTTTGAGCCAACTCTAGTTGGCTACCATTCGGACTCTGATACACTGTCACTTGATGCTAGAGCGACGCGGTTCCGTCTCAAAACCTGGAGTCCGGAAAGAACGCGAACTTGGCAGTCTACCACATCATTGTAAGGAACTTCGTACTCAGTTCTTGCAGGCAGAAGGCTCACGCACCGTAGTGTCATGGTTCACTTCTATGATCTACCCTACGAGATTCGTCAGATGATCTATGCAGAGTGCCTCGTCGTTGGCGAGATTCACCCCTACAGTCTCCGTGATACATCTCTGCGGGATAGACATAGCGCTTGGGCCAAGACAGGATGTGATCTCCCGACTGTAGCGCTTTTGCAGGTATCAAAGACCATTCGAACGGAAGCCGAGCCCGCACTGTACGAGCGCAACATGGTCCAATTAGGGAGTGCCGAATTCTCTCAAAGGTTTTTCGAGCGATGCTTGAACACATCAGAGCGCAAGCTATGGCTCAAGTCGGTGAGCATGTGGCTAGATGATGGCGAAATGACGGAAGCCGATCAAAGAGCCGTTCAGGACACGCTCTTCCCCGAGCGAGCGTATACAAAAGTACCGTGGGTAAAGAAGGTGCAAGATGCGTACAAACAGTACATAGGAGAAACTGTTTGGCCTCGCAAAGTCTTACCGCTGCTCGACTCCTGTAAGCTTAACACGCTGGTCATGGATTTCAGTGAGGCTCTTTGTCAGGCAGATTGTTGTACAATGCGCTCTCATGCTGTCCAGTCCTTCAGGAAGGGGTTTGCCATGGGCTTGCCAGCAAGATTTGTGATCCAGGGTCTTGGGACGGGTGCAAAAGCGTCGAGGAAGCTCATCCAAAGGTGGACCTCGAGACGCATAACGGACTTGGACAGGAAACTTGTTCTTGACATCTTTTCGGATGAGGAGTGATGATGCAGGATGAGGAAGTTAAGGCAGGAATGTGAACCCTCTTGTAAGCTGAAAGTCTGAGATTGAATGGGGAACACGCAGTCAGATTTAGAGGTCGCAAAGGATGTTAGCCTGTATCTGCTCCTTCGAGCTTCTTGAAATCGTCCAACAATCAGGGCCTTTTTCACAGTGCGATTCCAATATCTTATCCGGCCATCTACTTGTGATTCTTGAAAGCATTAATGAACAATCAATATGAAACTATCTACTGTTTGACGTCTCGTCGTCTTTACGAAAGCAAGGTTCTTCTTTAGCAGCATCCTTGTGGGCGATAAGAGAGGGGAAAGAGAGGAAAGATGACACGCGACTACTCATAAGGCTAGAAGATCTAGGGGTTGTGGGGCTGCGTTAGCGTGGGTTAATCAGGGTCGAATGGGGGTCCTTGGCGAGCTTAGGGGGGGTCTAGGCCGGACCCTAAGACGGTTAAGAGTAAGCCCGGAACATGTAAGACGGGGGGTCGCTTATGCCAAGACTGCTGCCGTCCCTCGGGCCTTTTTTTGTATTAAAGTACCCAAACGGCCTCCCCCCCATCCCCCCCACTTTCAATCTTCCATTTTGTTCCCTCCAACGCTCTCACCTGTTCTAGAGGATACGACAAATTCCCACCACCATGGAACGAAAACCGATAGCAGACAGCGGGGTTGAGGTGACGGCAGGACTCGATGATAGAGCTACGCGAAGACGACAATCTGCCTTTGCAAGGCGCAAGTCCTCCGCTGTCGTTGAAGAGTCTGCCGCCATTGTCGAAGCTCACACTCTTAATGATGCAGACCGACGTTTGGCCGAGATGGGCTACACTCAGGTAGACGGACCCAGCATTCCATTCAAAAAGAACCATACTGACAACTCTTCTATCACTAGGTCTACAAGCGAGAATTTTCCTGGCTTTCTACCTTCTCATTCGCCCTCTCGGTGTCAGGACTCTTCGCCAGTGTCTCGACAACCTTCATTTACCCCTACGAAGCAGGAGGTGCATCTTCAGCCGTCTGGTGCTGGTTGATCTCGGGTTTCGGATGCTACTGCATTGCGCTGTCTGTGGCCGAACTCGTCTCCGCCTACCCGACGTCGGGAGGACTATACTTCACATGCAAATATCTCGCCCCGACAAATTGGGTACCGGAAATATCATGGCTGTGCGGTTGGCTGAATCTCATCGGCCAGATTGCCGGAGCTGCGTCAACGGAATACGGCTGCGCCCAATTACTGCTAGCTGCCGTCTCAATGGCAGGGGACTTCAACGGCTATGTGCCCACAGACCGTCAGACCGTTGGCGTCATGGCTGCATTTACCGTCCTCCATGGGGCTTTAAACAGTCTGAACACTGCGGCGCTCGAGAAGATGACGAAAACATATGTCATTTTCCACATTGCCGTCCTATTCAGCTGCTGCGTCGCGTTGCTCGCAATGTGCGACTATAAACACACTTCCTCCTATACGTGGACCACTGTCGTAAATAACTCAGGATGGTCACCTACAGGCTGGTCTTTCCTCTTCGGCTTCCTCTCAGCCTCGTGGACCATGACTGATTACGACGCGACTGCTCATATTGCGGAAGAAATCAAAAACCCCGAAATCAAAGCCCCTTGGTCCATTGCCCTCGCGCTCGGCTTCACCTGGATAGGAGGATGGCTGTTCACTATAGTGCTAGCTTACTGCAGCGGCGATCCCACTCACACCCTTAAAAATGCTGTCGACCAGCCTGTGGCTCAAATATTCTACGACGTCATTGGCAGAAATGGAGGCATCTTCTTTACCGTGGCGGCTTGTTTCGTTCTCAACTTCACAGCCATGACAGCCATTCAAGCCGGCGCTCGAACAATCTGGGCGTACTCTCGCGACGAAATGCTGCCACTGTCGAGGGTCTGGTACAAAATCAACAAGAAGACCGATACTCCGGTTTACGCAGTGTGGCTTTTTGCCACAGCTTGTGTCCTCATCAACTTGATCGGTCTGGGATCTTACATCGCAATCTCGGCAATCTTCAACCTCACAGCTATCGCTCTTGACTGGTCCTACTGTATCCCTATCATCTGCAAAATGCTTTACGGCAAGTTCGAACGTGGGCCATTCCACCTTGGCTGGGCTAGCTTACCCATCAACATCTGGGCTGTCTGCTGGACAACCTTCGTCACGATCATCTACGTTATGCCTACCATCCGGCCTGTGACTCCCCAGAACGTAAGAGCAATTTTTCCTCCCTCCCGAACACACTCTCGTTTTGCTAATCCATCACAGATGAACTACGTCGTCGTCCTCATGGCGGCCGTCGCAATCTTCGCCGTTGGCTACTGGTACGCTGCTGGTCGCTACTACTATGTCGGCCCAAGAGTCAAGGCTCAACTCATCATGGGAGTTGCAGGCGAGGAGGACAAGGCACACTCATCCGGCGGGTCGAGCGATGAGAAAAGGGACCCGACGGCAGTGTCTTAGGTGGCTGCTTTCTGCTTCAGCAGCCCCTTGTATCGGACGCTGAGGTACTATTCACGGCCTTGGATGGCGCTCTTGCGATTTCTTTCTTCTTCTTTCTTGTCATCTATTCATTTTTCTAGATACCCACGTGTGTAAACTTCAGATTGTCGTACAAATCATTCATTCATCCATTCATTCATACATCCATTCATTCATACATACATACATACATCGCTTCGCATCCGATCTGAAGAACTGCTCCCCACTCATGCGAATACGGTCGGTCGCGACTTTTCAAGGCAGGCTCCTCTCGTATGTATGTATGTATGTATGTATGTACGTCGCAGAGCTCAACGTCTATAACAGATCTCTCAAATACCATCGAAACATCCATCCGAGATAGGCGCATCTACCCGCTTCGTTTCCCACCACGGTACGACGAGAGTCTGTTGGTCTGCTGGATCAGTCAGTGCGTATCTTACCCTCCCGTCGTCTTTTGATCGTCGTGGGGCCTTTTTCCCTTGAGGGGTACAGTATGTGTGTATATTCACATACGTCGGATTCGAGGTTGTGGGTTTGAAAGCCTTGTGTTCGTGCATGAGCGGATGAATGAATGAATGAATGATGCTGTTGAGGGAGTGGAGTTGGGTGGTTGTGGCACGGCGGATGCGTGTGGTTCGTGGGTGGGGAATAGGGTTGTGCGATGTTGCTGTATGTACCTAAGGTCATGGGATAACATTTGAGTGATTGTTAATCTATCTATCTATCTGTCGGTCCGTCTGTTCACTTCGATATGGACTTTTATGCCGCAAATACGCTGACTTGTTTCGGTCAGTTTTGAAGAGATGAGGGGCAAGGGGATAGATGCATTGCATGTAGCGTACGCTCTGTTTGTACGTACGTCACAAAACAGCCGCGACAGACTGGGACGATGTGGTACGCGGACTATACGTAATGCTGCAATACTTGAGTATATTCGTGGGAGATGCGAACGCGGTTGAGGGGAGTGGGGCTGGGATCGGAGTTGACATGTCTACTTTCTTCGCTGGTGAGATTGGGGGGTTTGTCCTAATGCTGTGTATGCTTCGTGACTGACCGATCTTTCTTCTTTCGCAGTCCTCGTTGGGTGATTTCGCTCGCGCAGGGTTGAGTGGTTGGGGGCTTCGTGTTGCTGGATTGCGGATCGCGATTGGGACTTGGACTAGCGCTCCATCCGTGCTTTATACGAGATGGTTAATGGGATCCTAGCGCTCCTGGCTGGGATTGACATCGTCTGGCTCTGGCTTGTGAAGGTGGTTTAGGGCTGTGGTTGTATCGCGCTCGGATGAGTCCTTGATGTTGGCGGGTTTTGCAACGGTAGAAAGAGGTTGTGTGGGTGGGTGTGTTGGGCTCCATCCTCCTCCCTTGCGGCTTTTAACTCACAATAGCTCCCTTTGTGACATCCTCTTCTCGAGAATAGTTCTCATAGCCTGCGCAGGTATCACGATGCTCGGGTATGTTTCTTTCTCCCTCGACGCTCTCAGCTTCATGATTCTCCGCGCATGCGTCGTATCCTCCTCCCTTCGCTGCCTGCCTGCGTGCCTGCCGCCTCGGATGGGGTATGAGAAACAATACATATTCGCAATTCCAATTCTTTCATTCATTCATTTGCCCCCATCCCTCCCTACGTACTAGTACACATGACTTTGAAGAATCCAGGACGTGCATCGGGCAGCTCACTCACCCACTCCGCAGTGTGCCAAGTGGATGTCCCTCTCTTAAAAATCGCTCTTGCATCACCATGGAGGAGATAGGCATGTTCCAAACCCGCCATCTCCTCTCCTCTCAGCCGCCGTGGCGTCTATCTCTCTTTCATCATATCCAGCTACTCGTTCACGACCAGTTGAAGAACTGAGTCGAGTCCTGTTCCAGCACTGCTTCCTTGCGCGCTCGGGGTCATGTTTCGCTCGTTCGTTCGTTCAACCACTACGATATACGAATGCGTTCCGGAGAGCCGAGACGTTAGCCACGGCCCACCACGACGCCGCTGCTTTCTCGGTTACGTACGGGTGTGGAGCGTGTTTTAGAAGATCGCCAAGAGAAGAGTCTCGTTTTGCCCGTTTCCTTACTTTCGCCTTTGAAGATGGGCAATGTGTTGGCTAAGTCGTTCCTCGGGCGAGCGAAGAATGCCTTAGATGACGATAAATCTTAGGGCGCTGCGCCCTCGGCGGGTTTTTGCAACGCGTTTGGCACTTTCACTTTCCTTCCAACGTTGGAGGGATGAAGCAGACGAAATATTGTGCGGATTCAAGATGGAAAGCTCCATGTCCGGCTGTGCGGTATCGGATATGGGCGTCTTTTCGGAGGATTTCGTTCAGATGGGACGGATAGGAGAGTCTGAATCTCACCCCGGTCCATGCGCCACAGTCGGCGGTGAGGGACTTTTCTGGATCCCAGGAGCGGGGTTCGTCACTCTACTTAGTGAGTGAAGGCTTTGTTGTCAGCAGGGATGTATGTATTTATATACGTAAATGACTCAGTATCGCCCTGTCGTTCTCGACTCACGGTGGCGAGTACAAGCCTCCGAGACTTGACTCTTCCACTGGAATTTGCCGATTGCGCCCCTAAGCATACAGTCTTTGATGTGGACGTTCACGCTGCTCAAAGCTTGCTTAGTAGGGCGAGCTCGTATGCCAGGTCGACGGAGTGGCTGAGAGGTCAGGGCGAGAGCGGCTTCGGTTTGTCTCTTTGCCGGCAGCTCGTAACGCTCCGAGAACTTTTTGGATGTCGATGCTGTTTATGTGGGTTATATTTGGATTGACAGGTACAGCCAATTAGGTTGGGATAGCGTCAGAATTGTGGGTACGCGTCCGTGGAGGTTGGGGTATAATTCGCTATGCAGTTATATTGCATTCATTAAAGTGATGCTACGTAGATCTGCGTTGGCGTTGCTCATTTTCCGTTGAGTTGTATTCTCTTTCTGGTCCGCCTCTCAGGGTTAATTATATGAGCCATCACGATTCACAAATCATTGGCTCCGTGATTAGAAGCCTTCTTGGTAGTTGGGTTGTTCGAGGAAACAATAGTTGGTGACAGCTTGCTTTCTGGATGGAAATTCGTGCGCTTTGTTTGTATCACGAAGACTGCTAGAGGAGAAATTACAGCTTGGTCGTGGAATCGCTCTGGGCATAGACAGCGCGGTCTTGGAACTTCAGGAACGGACATGGCCAGCGAGTGGTTCGTCTCCACACAGAGGAACACATACACACCACGACGGCAGTTCAAATGACCCATTCACACGTTAGCCGCGGAGTAAGCACAAGTTGCGAGTCACACTCCACACTCTTCGCGTCCGCCACAGCAGTGCAACCGCCAAGTACCTCATCTGTATCAGTATCCCACAGCTCTCCAACCGCACCGGTGAAGAAGGACTCATATCTTAGCTTCCGGCCGTATGCCGATATCGTCATGTCAGCCGGGTAAAGACTCGTCTCCTCGGACAGAGGTGTCCCATCGGGCACGGGAGCTGTCCCGCTCGGATTGCTGTTCCAGGCACCGTCTAGGCTCGCGTCTCCCGGTTTGTAAGCGTAGGCAAACCATGTGGCGACTTCTGCGCCGCTGGGCCGGAGTAAAGTTGCAGCTCGATGGCGATACCGGCGTTAGGAGATGACGGTGGTGGTGTCGAAGGAGCTGGATTCGCTGTGGCTGGTGGCGTTGCGGGTTTTGACGTGGTCGTGGCAGCAGAGCAGTCGAACGATGCCGTTGGTGGTGGAGTGGTCCACCCACACGCGAGATCCGTACTAGTTCGTACGGCGTACGAGTTGGGGCTCTCTCCGCACACACACCAGCCAGGGCCACTGGCGATGGATGCACATGTATTGTGGGGATCTGCGGCGTGGGAGCATGACACTGTCGTTGCGGCGCTTGTCGAAGGCGAAGCGATAAGCGTTGACGAGGCATGGGCTGCCGCTACACCTGCTGAAACTCCTCCTATGATCCCTCCAATAGCTGCTGCGGGTGTCGGGGACATTCCAGCGGCGGTTCCCCCAAGCCGGCCTCCATCTCCGGCCATGATAGCTGCCGCGATTGAGGCGGGCAAGGCTTCAGTGCTTGACGGTAAGTCGATTTGAGTCAATGGACATGATCCGTCGCGCTTTATGTATCCACCAGAACCCCCGCAGTCCTTACAAAGCTCCAGAGGTGCGTTGTTGTAGATGATGGGCACACTGCCGGCACCTCTTGGCTTCGACTGAGTTGAGACCATTCTGTAGGCGTATATATTTGGTTGCTCGCCCGGATTGGGAGGAATGAGTGCATTGCCGCTGTATCCCATGGCGAGCGTTTAGGCGATATAGCCAATTGTGATTCCACACGCTGTGAGAGGAGGTCGTCAGACCTCTCATACCCATCTGGGAATGTATATAACAGAGATTTGCAACGTACCATACGATGTCACGGCGCTCAGAGTAGGGTCAAGGTATTGAAAAATGTAAGCCCCACTTGGATCACTTGACACGATCCAAGCACCTGCACCTAGTGCGTAGGCTGTCAGGATATTGTCTCCTATATGACCTTGAGATTCCGGATGAGCCACAGCGTCAGGTGTGACACTTCCTATTACAATCTCCGGATTGCGGAACAGCCGTGCGGGAATGAGGCCAATCTCTGGATTCTCATCGCCTGTATTCCCCACAGCGGCGCTGATAGTAATTGCGTTGTCATCAACCCAGTCTAGAAAATTTCTCCACATCTTTGAGAAATTTTTCTCAGCACTCTTTGGATATTGGCTTACGTCGCCTTGATCGCCAAACGGATATCCCAGGGCAGAGGAGATCACAAAGTATTCTTCTCCTAGTCGCTTTTTCTCCTCTATAACCTCGGTCATCATGGCAATTGCGTCTTTGACCGAGAAAAGGGGAAACAATACGCCACTTGCGGAGCGAGGGCCGTTGGTATATTGTGGCAACTTGACGACCGTATGACGACACTTTTGCGCCTGACCAAGATGATCGCCTATTATGAAGCCAGACATGCGAGTCCACGGGGTGTCAAACTACCATACTCGACCTGTCTTAATCGAAAGTCTGAGTAAGCTGGATGGATCCCACCATCAGGATTTGGGGAGTCCGGGTCGATGTAGCTGTATTCATACGGCTGCTGGATAATCATGCCGCCAGGCATTGTGACAAAAAATTTCTCTATGTTATCTACTCTAGGAAAAAGCCAGTCTATGTCCCAATCGTCCTGAGTTTGCCCACGTGTGATACCTGGCTTGAGTCGACCGAAGAATTCGGATGCTGCATGTTGAGACCGGTATCCAGGAGGTAGACCCGCACATTTTGACGAGGCTCTATTGTGTTAATGAAATAGTAGGGGTACATCTCACCCCGTTCGCCAAGACTGTAATCTGAACGGAAGATCCGGTGCTAGCGATATCATGGCAAGCTTCCATGCTGCAATCTTTTCCGCCCAGCCCTGGACCGGAATCCGCTGGAATAGACCACCACCTCTCGGCCTTTGATCTCCATCATGAAGATCTCTTGAGCCCACGTTAGGCTTCGAATCAAGAGGCTCCGTCGCATAGATGGTGCCGTTAAGATCTGGATCCGTCTGTCCACTGTCTGGCATTTCAATTTCAAGTTCGGATTCTTGTATGATGATGAAATCAGAATTAGCATCGATGACCGAAGCCTCGGTGTCGCTGAGCTCTAAGGCGAAAATTTCCAGGGTACCGTCGCTTCTATTTGCTTGCGTGACATCCTTCCGTTGAGCATATGGGGCGAACAGAGATTTTGTCGCGGATTGGGGGGTATCGATTAATGGCATGACCACGCATCGAGTTGGCGTGTCTGCAGCTGATGAAGAAACCATGCTCTGCATTGTTTGGCTCGGGCTTTGAATCGGAGTAGGCGTTTCGTCCTCAGGATTGACACCATTTGGATTCTCGCCTGGCGGCAATTTTGATGGATCGATGCTGATGATTGAAATGGTAGGAGGTCCACCAAGAGGACAGAATAACCGCCATATGATCCCCAAGGGAAAGGAGAATAATTTGTGGCAGAGAGAAGGGAAGTCGGAAGACGAATGAAACCCTGGTAGCCCAAAAATGAGGAATGCAAGACCGTGTGTGCATAATTCAGGTACCTCGGTTGCGACGGTACTCCCAGACGATGTCGCGGTAATAATGGCGCCTGCAGTGGTACATGTTGAGATGGTAATAGTCTGGATCGAAACTCCAATCGGCACACTTGTCACCGTAGTCGTGACACTGTCTACGTACGCGAACAAAGCGTTTGTGCTCGGCACACCTGAAGAGTATCCCACTTGGACAATTTCATTCGTGACGGAGCCTTGGGATTTTGTGATTTTGACGGCATAGATGACTGGACCTGTAGGTAACGAAGCTGTGGGTGTTCCAGATCTAGTACGGTTACTGCCCCCTAACGCCTTGTTCGTGACTGGCAGAGATCCTGCCATATTGAGAGCAGTATTGTGTGTGTTTGCTGGAGGACTATTGCCCTCAGAGCTGTTACTCGCTGATATCGTAGCCCCTGTACCAGAAGAATTGACAGAGGTTGTTGCAGACATTGAAGGGTTTGATACCACGTCTGGCGAAGCGTTCTGCGTAGATGGTGTTCTGGTTGACACAGCTGATCGACCAGACGAACCCTCCGCAGCTGACACACTCCCAGTAGTCCCGCCCTGCCTTGTAGACGCCGAGGTAAGCGAAATCAAAAGACCGCTGTTCATGGTGTTGCTGGCAAATCTATCAACCTCAATCCCTGCATCTATAGCCTCAACAATGTCCTCCAGTGCGGTAACGATCGAAGCGGGCAACACGCGAAACTCAGCAACCACGGATGATGCTACATGGCTAGCACTATCCGTGAAGACTTTTGCGACGCATATCTCCCCTGAAGCGCACGTACCGATGTCTACATTCGTTAGAATGGAAATTGGACTCGGTAAGCCAGTGAGAGCTGGCATCAATTCGACAACTTCGTTGGTCCCCACCACCACAGCATCATATATGAGCGTGTCTGTTGACGACGTTCGCGTGACCGGCACAGCATACAGTGGAAGCACAAGAGCGAAAGCAAAAAACGCAACGATAAAGGATGTCATTGTTTGAGGCCGGAGACATTCAATGAGAGAAAACAAGGAATGATGACAGGATACATGACATTCCCAAACCAGCAGCGAGCTGTACGTTATTCGAGAAGAGCCATACTAAGCTGCAATTTCTTGCTTCGTTGGAAACTGGATCCTGTGCAGCCGGGGTTGTGGCGGCCTGTGACATTTAGATAACAACTTAGCGAGTAACAACAGAACAATGATAGCATCGAGTCATGCTGTTGGTCCATCTGAGCTGAGCTTCACCTAATTTGCCTCGTTCATCAACGCGGCGTCGTGCTGGCGGAAGATGGTTGTTTTACTTTGAGTGAGCTTACCTAATTGACGCTAGCCTCACTCAGTAAAGTTTGGCTAGGACGGCCAATCAGGAAAAAGTGAGGCTAAAGTACTGCAAATTCGGAATTACTTGCCATAAAAAACCTCTTCGCTCTATCTCCCGCCCCGGTCACAATCTGTTGGACTGGAGTTGCCTTGGCTAATTCTTCCCACCGCCACTATTCACACTTCGTTTCCATTGTGCTGTTGTAGCCGATTGCGTAAATCATTCTTGCTTCAGCTTAAAGTAGGTCATAAAGCGAAAGTAGATCTTGTCGGAGCAGAACGCTCAATAATCATAACATTACAAAACCATGCTGTTAGTCCAAACCTGCGGTGCTCAATACTTGATGCCATTAGTTGTGCGTGCACTCCGTCCCTTCTGGTTCCTTTTCAACCACCTTTCTTTGACACGACAAAAGAGACACTGCCACTGGTGTCTAATGCAGATGCAAAAACTGCGCAAACCACCCCACACCGGCATTCTTTGCCCTCTCCAATGCCTTCTTCTGCTTCACATCGCTCTGATCGCACTTAACGGCGAAACCGTGGTTCGATCCGGGGAAATACTGATAGTCGTATTCGAGATTCAAGCTCGGGATTACGCTGTTCGCGTGCGCTTTCAGTTCGGGTGTCAGCTGTGGGTCGTTCTCCGGGGCGATGATCTGCACCGGGACGCCGACGGCGTCGATTTCCTCCTTTTGGAGGAGGGAGGGGTGCGCGGTCGAAATGCAGTCGACTAGGTTTTTGCCTGAGGGAAGGTCAATATGTTAATAAGAATGGATACCCTGCGCGTGATTGGGAAAGGGTGGACTAGCCTTTGGCTCCGAGCTGGAAGACGGCCCATCCACCATAGCAGAATCCAATCGCACCGAGCTTCTTGAAGCCGTGCTCTTGCTTTAAAGATTTGGCGCAGGTTTCGATCTCGGGGAAGCGGATGTCCTTGGAGTGACGACCGATGAATCCCATCAGGTCGAACTTGCCGCCCTCTATTGCGCCAGCGGTAACGACCTCACCGTCGAAGCTGTATGAAAAGCGGGATCAGAGCTCTTCTTGACCTGGCGATGTTGATCTCGGCGGGTAGAATGGGAACTTACAAGTCCGGAAGATAGACGGTGGCATCTGCTTCCTTGGCGTAGTGGTCGGCGAGCAGGCGGGCGTTGGGAAAGGTCCAGCCGAAGATGTCGTGGATCATGAGAATAGCGACCTGGTGCGTTGCATATTGAGTCAGACCAGCCGCAGTCTCATGCTTTTCTCAAGTAGCTAACGAACCTCTTTGTTGGAACCGGTGACATAGGTGTCGTTCTTGCCCAGTTTGGTCTCTTCACCGATGGGCTTACCATCCCATTTGAATCCAGATAAGCAGCACTGAGACATGATGGTTCGAACGGTAGTGTATATATATTTAAATATTGGGGTTTGAAGCGAATGAAGGATTCTGGTTGCAGGAGGGTTACTTAGATAAAGTCTGGGAGGGGGTACGGGAATCGGCAAATAGGCGAGCCGGAAAGAATTAAAGTATGTCGTCATGGACAAAAGGATGAGAGAGGTTTAGACCCAGCTCTACTTGTAAGGTTTTATGTAAAGGACATCTTATTAAGTATTTTATGCAATTTCTAACTGATTTTCGATCAATCAAAATGCTGCATTGCCTTGTTATTCGCTTCTTGTGCAATTCGCAGAGAATAATGTAATAATGTACTTTACTTCAGAGATGCCAAGCGCAGTCTTTCTAGTCTTCGGATGTTCGGCCCTACCAGGTAGTCGCTTCCGTGACTTCAATAAATAGGGTCTCCTTGCTTGCTTCTGGCTTTTCTTCGGCAAGTACTCTAGGCGCTTGACGACCGAGAGAAAGAAAGCAGAATGCCAAAAGCTCCACAATGTATCAATAATAAATCCTTTGCACATCAATCGAGACCTAGCATCCGAAACTGCCCCAGTAACCTTACCACAATGGTATACCCATGCCACGAGGTAATCGTGTGTCCATGAGTCCTTCGTGCAGGCAAATCCGCAATAAGATGGGCGTATCGATTGCACATGTGTATGGAGGCGAGATCCAGTTGGGTCAGTCGTCAGGCTCTGCGCCGTCTGGGACTGCGGGTCATTCAATTATCCGAACGAATGGAATTTCGTTGTATGCTGCATCGAGACGGATGAATTCTCATACCCCTGATTGCATAATCCTTGAGAAAGAAAAAAAAATCCCACAGTTCTGGCACACCCCAAAATCAAAAATCAAAAATTTCAATGTTTCTATATAGGTTCTCAATCACAATTAATTATGATCTGAAAAATTATTAAGATTTAATAAATAGATTATAGATTAGATTATAAAATTCTTAAAAGATTTAAATTATTCGTTATATTGTAAAATAGAATAGTAGCGAATTTTACGAAGTACTCTTGACAGCTTTAGAATAGCCGAGGTAAAAAAAAAAAAAAACCTTGATATTTATTTAGATGATTTTTCAGCGTACCCTCAGTAATATTAAATTAATATTTTATTATTTTACTTACGTTATATAAGTTAAATTTTTTAGATACTTTAATAATAAATACTTAGATATATAAAGTATATATTTTATAATTTTTAGACTATAATTAATTATAATTGTAAACCTATATAGAAAAATCAAAATTTTTAATTTTTAATTTTAAAGTATATTAGAACTATGAGATTTTTCTTTCTTTCTTAAGAATTATATAATTAGAGATATCGAAAGCTATATATAATACTCGTATTTACTAGAATTTATAATTTATTAGAATTTATAATCGCTAAAACTTAATCTTTATAATTTATTATTAATATACGAGTAAAGGCCTATAAATTAAATTCATAATCATTTTTTTAATTAGGGCTATTGAGTAAGTAGGTAAGCGATCTTTAATAAGCGAACTTTAGTGAGCGATATTTGAATTCCTTGCGCTTTAATAATTATAAGACTAAATTTTAAAGTTCTTAAAAATTCGAAAAGCGCAAATAGCGCTTTAAGATTTAAAGTAAAAAATTTCAGAATTTTAATAGAAAATAAGAAAGTTATTACTATTGTAAATAATATATATCTATTTTTTTAATAAGAGAGGCGTAAAAGGGCGAGATTTTGATAGTTGCGAACGCTAATTTATTTATTTACGATAACTTAGTCGATCTAGCCAAAAGGCGTAATAACTTTAAATTAATAATTGGCTACATATATAAATTTAAGATTTTCTAATTTAGTTCTATCTTATTCTTTTATATATACTAATTAATATATATAAAAGAATAAGATAGAGCTAAATTAGAAAATCTTAAATTTATATATATAACTAATTATAAATTTATTAGATCTACGCTTTTTAATTAGATATCGCGAGTAAATAAATTAGCGTTTATAACTATTAAAAATCTATAAAAATCTATATATAGAAATCTTATCCTCTAAAATAATTAGCTCTCTATAAATATTATTTCTTTATAATTTAATAAATTATAGAGCTTAGTATACGCTTTCTAACGCTATAAAAATAATAAAGTTTAATTTACTATTAGTAAATTAAATAAATATTTAAATATAATAGTTATAATAGTTATATTAGACGCGTTCGAAATTAAATAATAATTCTTTCATTTATTTATATAATTATTCTTCTTCTATAATTCTATTAATCTATTAATAATAAATAAATTCGCTCTCGATATTTCTCGTCTAAATGTTATTAAGTATCTAAGATATATATCTCTTTTATTCGTCTTTTAAATCATTACTAACGTCTCTAGATTATCTCTTAACGAATTCGCTATTACTAATAATTAAGATCGTAAACGCGTTAGAAGACTCTTAAAAAGAGCTTAAATGAATATATTCTCCTCCATATACTTCTTTTAAGCTAACGATAGATAAATTAAATTAATATTTAAATATTATAGTTATATTAAACGCGTTCGAGATTAAATAATAATTCTTTCATCTATTTATATAACTATTCTTCTTTTATTATTCTATTAATTCTATTAATATAAATATATTTATTCTTAATATTCTTATACTTAGTTAAATAAGAGAAGAATTTATAATAGACGAATACGAAGAATATTACGGAGAATATTATAGAGATAGTTATTAGTAGTAATAATATAATAGATCTACTCTTTACGATCTTATATTAATTTACTTAGTTAATATAAGAGAAGTTATTATAATAGACGAATATAAAGAATACTATAGAGAAATTAAGCGGTAATAAGATTTTTAGTATTAAGAATACGACTTAACTCTTTAAGATCTTACGTTATATACTCTCTATAATTTTATATTAAATTATTACTTAGTAAGCGAAGAATATTACTATAATTTAGTTTATTATTTCTACTATATTAAGAAGTAAGAGAAGAAATTATAATAAATAAATGCGAAGAATATTACGAAGAATACTATAAAGAATACTATAAAGAAATTAAGCGGTAATAAGACTATTATCGTTAAGAATACGACTTAACTCTTTAAGATTTCACGTTATATACTCTCTATAATTTTATATTAAATTATTACTTAGTAAGCGAAGAATATTACTATAATTTAATTTATTATCTTTACTATATTAAGAAGTAAGAGAAGAAATTATAATAGATAAATACGGAGAATATTATAAAGAATACTACGAAGAATACTACGGAGAAATTAAGTAATAATAAGATTATTATTATTAAAAATACGACTTAGCTCTCTAAGATTTCACGTTATATACTCTCTACGATTTCACATTAAATTATTACTTAATAAGCGGAGAATATTACTATAACTTAATCTATTATTTTTATTATATTAATATAATATATTACTATAACCTTTATAGAAGAAATATCGAACGATATATATTTAGACGAATTAAAATCGTTCGATATCTTACTCTAATAGCTATTTTATTATTCGAAAGATTTTACTACGATAGAAGATAATATGAAATTTATATTACTAATTAATATATTATCTTTATTTCTTTTCGATATTTCGATACTTCTTACTATAAGAATATAATCTTTCTTTATTTTTTATAGATAATTATTACGAATTAATTCTCTATACTCGATATATCTTTCTAATTAAGTCTTAGCGCGTCTCTCTTTATATATATATTTATATATAAATTAAAAACGTATAATAAGCGATTAGAGTTCGATTTAACTTAGAGCTAAAGCTAAAATTCGATTTAACTTAGAAAAATTTAACTTTATAAATTTAATTTATAGATTTTTACTTATATAAAAGAATAAGATAGAGTTAAGCTTAAAAATCTTAAATTTATATATGTAATTAATTATTAATTTAAATTCGCTACGCTCTTTAATTAGATCGACTAACTTATCGCGAATAAATAAATTAACGTCCACAATTATTAAAATCTCGCTCTTTTACGCCTCTCTTATTAAAAAAATAAGTATATATTATTAACATATAGAATTACTTTATTATTTTCTATTAAAATTTTAAGATTTATTTTTTAAATTTTAAAGCGCTATTTATACTTTTCGAATTTTTAAGAATTTTAAAATTTAGTCTTATAATTATTAAAGCGTAAGGAATTTAAATATCGCTTATTAAAGTTCGCTCGACAGTCGAACAGCTCTAATTAGATACACATTATTTGATTTTAGAATAACTTTTTTATTTTCTATTAGAATTTTGAGATTTCTTTTTTTAAATTATAGAACGAAATATAGGCTTTTAGATAAAAAAAGAATTATTAGATTTAGTTCTATAATTATTAAAGTGTAAGGAATTCAAATATCGCTTATCAAAGTTCGCTTATTAAAGATCGCTTACCTACTTACTCGATAGCCCTAATTAAAAAAATAATTATAAATTTAATTTATAGACCTTTATAGAGATCTATATCGAAAGTTCTATACATATACTAAAACTCTTAGTATTCTTAATATTCTTCGGCAATTTGATAAATTTCTTAAATAGCTTTATTTTTTATTAATAATTCTTTATATAACTACGTATATACTTATTAACTCGCTTATTTAAATTATATAATCGTATATCCCCTTTTAAAACGATCTTCTCTATACTCGTTATCGTCTTTTAAATAAATAACTTCGATAATATATCTAGGTATACGTTCTATCTACTCTAAATCCTCTCTTATAAAGAATATTTTCAGTAATAAGTTCATCGCTCTTTAGCCTCTTTTCGAGTCGTTAATAAATCGTTTTAAGTAGTATATCGCTTTATTTAAGACTAATATAGCTTAATAAATATTTGCTAAGAATGCTAAGAGTTTTAGCGTATATATAGAACTTTCGATATAGATTTCTATACTCGTTTTATAATACTATAATAAAAAACTCGATTTTTTTTAAGAGAATATAAAAAGCGATTTTT